CGCAAATGCACTGGCAGAGAAAACTGACTGACTCAAGGTATTTAAGCACAATCACTGTCCAGTCATTTGCTGACCCCTAAACTAAACAAAGGAGTGAGCCCTTTGAAGCCAGGCTAAAAATAAAAACAAGAATTTGAAAAAAAAAAAAAAAAGCAGAACTTCAGTGGTCGCACACAAGCATGTAAGTCTGTGGCCTTGGCAGGCTGAAAGAATAACTGAGTCGGAGAAAATTAACTGAGGCCCTGTTGAGACTGCTTGTCTTTCTCCTGTTCTTTCTCCCTCAATAAGAAATAAACTTAAAAATAGTACAAGAAGAGGGGTCGGAAGGTGGTAGTTAAGGCTTTGGACTCCCACATGGCAGACCACGGTTTGAGTCCTGGACCTGGAGACTTGTTTTTTTCACTTTCCCTCTCTCTCTCCCTGGTCAAATTAAAAAATAATAATTATAAATAAAATTAAAGAAAATAATTCCTTAAAAAATAATAATACAGAAAGCAAAAGTTGACAATTGAAAGGACAAATACACAACAATAATTGTTGGAGATTTAAATACCTTCCTTTCTGGACTAGCAGATGGTGTAATGGTTACATTGCTGGACACCCACATGGCCAACCATGTGCGTCCTGGACCCAGCAGCTGGAAATTCAGGCCCGGTGTGTGTGCACGCATGTCAAAAATCCTAAGAGGAAGGTGGAGGAGAAGGGATTGCGGCATGGCCATCACCCCCGGAGGGGATGATTTCTCACTTTCTGTCTCTCCAGTGAGGCGCACATCCCCTATAGCAAAAATCTCTTTTAAAAAAGCAACAACAAAAAACACTTCATTCTCAATAACTCAATAACTGTTCTCTGTTACAACTAAAAAGAAAATCGGCAAGGATATAGACTAACACTGTCAACCAAATCTATCTAATGGACCTCTATGAGACATTCTACCCAATGACTGCAGAATACACCTTCTTTACAAGAGCACATGGAACATTTTCCAGGACAGTGTATTCTCCAATCATAATGAAATTAAATTAGTTAAAACCTTTAGAAAGAAATCTGGGAATTCCTAAGTATTTGAAACTAAAACAATATTATTTATAAACAACCCATAGGTCAAAGAAGACATCATAAGGGAAATTGTAAAATATTTTCAATTAAAATAAAATGAAGGCAAAATATATCAAAATGTAGGGGACTGTAGCTTAAACAGTGCTTAAAAAGGAAATTTAGAGAAAAAAGAATCAAAATAAAAATCTAAGCTTTCATCTTAAGAAACAGAAAAAGAAGAAAATAAACCAAAAGCATGCAGAAAGAAGAAAATGATAAGTACTGGGAAAGAAATCAATGAGAAAAAAATAGAAAAAAAATTATAAAAGAAACAAAACCAAAAATTAGTTTTTGAAAAGATCAACAAAATTGAGAAAACTTTATCTAGACTAAGAAATAAAGAGAGAGCACACAAATTATTAAAATCAGGTATGAAAGAGTGGACATCACTGACCATACAGAAATGAAAAGGATCATAAAGAAATATTATAAACAACTTTGTGCCAAAATATCAGACATATTCCTGGAAAGACACAAGTGAGCAAAACTGACTCAAGGAGAAATAAAATAATGCAATAATCCTATAATAAGAATTCAATTAATAATTAAAAATCCTGCCCCTCCAGAAAAAGAAGACTCAGATGGTTTCATATATAAATTCTATCAAATATTAAAAAAAGAAATGTCAATCCTTTATAAAATCTTTCAGAAAATAGAGGAGGGAAAACTTTTAAATTCATTCTATGAGGAAAGTTCTAACTTGATACCAGATAAAGACATCGCAAGAAAACTACTGACCACTATTTCCTCATTAATGTAGACATAAAAATTTTTCACAATACCCAAGAGGTCTGTCCCAAGTTCCTAGAAAATGAATACATGAGTCAAGTACCCCTACAGACCTGGCCATTGCTCAGAATTTAACAAGTACTTCTCTGGAAGACAAAAAAAAAAGATTAAAAGCAAAGGCCTTTGGCCAGCCAATGGTGTGGTGGTTAAGGCAGGTGGATCCCTCATAGCCAACTCTCAATATGTGGTTCAAGTCCCAGACCTGATGGCTTGAAAAACACGCTGGGCACTTGTGCATGTATGCCCAAAATCCTGACAGGAGGCAGGTGAAGAAGGGATTGTGGCATGGCCATTTGCCTTGGGAAGTGAGTTCTCTCTATCTCTCTCTCTCTCATCTCTTTCTCTCTGGCAAGTGCATGCACCCTCTGACAAATTACAAAAAAAAAAAAAGTACAGGAGCCAGCAGGTGGCATGGTAGTTAACTGCTGGACTCCTACATGGCCCACTGCAGTTCAAGTCCTGAACCTGGCAGTTTGAAATTCACACCAGGTGTGTGTGCCTGCATGCTCAAAATCCCAGGAGGAGAATAGAGGAGAAGGGTTTTTGGTGTGGTCATCCTCTGAAGGGGGTGATTTCTCATTTTCCCTCTCACTGTCTCTGTCTCTCTTTGGTGAGCACATACGTCCAAAAACCTGGAAAAAAAAGTACAAAAGTCAAGGCCTCCTGGTGGCCTGATGAGATTTGTACACAGGAAGGAGGGAGCAGTGTGGAATGTTGGGGAGAGCGCTAGGGTGGGAAACAGAATGGGTAGGATGACATACGGCCTGTATCATGACTCAGGGTCTAAACAGCTCTGAGGATTTGCTCTTTTGGATTTGCTCTTTTTCACTTTTCCTCTCTGGGTCTTGACATTTTACTTAAAAATTGATGATGCTGGGCTAGATCTCGGAGGCACTCAAGAAAGCGTTGGGAAAGCATTTACCACATGCTGGACACTGGGCCAGGCATAGGAGAAGAGTACCCAGCACAACCCAGGGTGGTCCCTGTTCCTGGGAAGCCTACACTCTACTGTAGAGACAGTCTAACAGAGACACCACCAAGGACGCAAGCAGGTGCTGTGAGATATACCAGCAGACTTCTGAAAGGAGGAGACCTACTTAGAACAGTGTATAGAGAAGGCTTCCTGCTTAAGGGTCATTTTAAGTGTTCTTTATTTTTTTATTGCCAGAGAATACATGCACTTGCCAAAGACAGACAGAGGCAGAGAGAGAGGGCAAAAGCACCCTCCGTGGAGGGTGGTCATGCCACAGTCCTTTCTCCTCTACTTCTCTGTCCTGCTAGGATTCAGGTCACATACACACACATGCCTGGCATTTTTTTATTTATATATTTTTATTATTATTTATACATTAAATCACTATACATCATTTAGATTATGAAGAGATTTTACCCAGCATGATATACACCTCAGTCCAGCCCAGTTGAGGCCACCACACACATCCTCGTCAACAGATAATAGACCTTACCTGTGTCCCACAAGTGTCTCACCTCTCCATTTCCCCCCAAATTTCCTATGGTCTTCCCCTCTCACACACTCTATTCACTTTGTCTCTAGTGTCCATTACAATTTTTAATGATGAAGATTTAAAAAAAATAATAATGGTAAGTGCTGGAGGGGATGTGGTGAAAGGGGAACACTCCTACACTGTTGGTGGGAATATAAATTGGTCCAGCCACTGTGGAAAATGATATGGAGGTTCCTCAAAGACCTTAAAATAGAACTACCATATGATCCAGCAATTCCAGTCCTGGGTATCTACCCAAAGGACAGGAGAGCACTCAGTCAAAAAAAGCACTGGCATGTTTTTCATGCCACCAAAGCCAGTACTTGAACTACGTGATCAGCCATGTGAGATCCAGCTCTCTAAATTGCTGGGCAACAGGGACAGCCTGAAAGTGTTAACTTAGAGACCAAAGGATGGCTTCAGGGCTCTAAGAATCTCTTGAAATTGACTTCAAAACTTCACGCACATACGCTTTTTCTGCTGTGAATCCTCACGGCTTTCAGAGAGGCACAGAGGCTCTGTGGAAAATCCATCTTGGCTGCATTTCAGTTGGGGAAAAGGACCAAGAATCAGGAGTAATTCCAACCTCGTGTTCGCCTAGAACAAATCTGGAGTTTACACAGACTTGACTGGGGCAGCTGGCCAGAAAGTCTGGCCCAGGAGCTCCTCCTGGATGATAAAGTGGGTTGCATTGAGTTAAAGGCACTGAGCTGGACACACGTCCCAGAGGGACCACCTAGCAGCTGTAGCACCATTCCCATCTGGTCATGAGCAAAGAGGACTGTGAAAAGTACTCCCAGCATCTGAGAAACACTTCCATCACAAATGTCCAGGAATTTTTTTCAATTGCCAGAGGGCACATGTACTTGCCAGAAAGGAACAGAGAGAGAGAGAGAGAGAGAGAGAGAGAGAGAGGTCAACCAGTCGATCCTCCCCAATGGGGTGTGGCCTATATCACAATCTCTTCCCCTCCATCTCCATCCTATAGGGATTTGGGGCATGAATGTGCATGCCCCCAGCATATTTCTCAAATTGACAGGGCCAGGATTATAAATGTGCACTCAACCACATGGGATCCATCTCTCTTAGCCCCCAGGCCCAGGGCTAGCCCCTAGAAATGGTATTTTAAAGGGATCCAGAAGCTGCCTTGCTGAAAGTCCTAAAGTAGATAAGAAGACAGAGTTGCCTCCCAAAGGAAGCTCCAAAGACAGCAGCCTGGAGCTGGGTGGTGGAGATCACCCTTAACTGTGGGTCCCCATCCAAAGCCAAGGTCGTTCCTGGGGACAGGAGTGTGCCACTCTTTAGCCAATGTGCTACCCACACAGAGAAAAGCTGGTGTGTCTCTGGGGGTGTGCCAACAGAGCCCAGCGCCCAGTTCTGTACCAACATAAAGAAGAGAAAGAAAAAAGGGAGGAAAGGAAATAAGGGCAAGAAAAAGGAAGGAGAAGATGGGATGGAAGAACAGAAAGAGGGAAATGAGCAGAGGAGACAGACAGAGATGGATGAACCTGTGTAACCACTGAGCACACAGAATCCCTTTGCCTGAAATGGACAGTTACCACCTCACAAATGCAGACAAGACCCCAATAATACAGAACTGATATTTACCTTCTGAATCTTTGTTGTAGAAAACCCCATGTGGGTGCAAAGAGTAAGGTCGGGAAGCAAAGTTCTTTAAATGAATGACGATCACATCACCCACTTCAGCCCTCAAGATGGGGCCCAGGAAACCAAGCCAGGGGGGCTTGGAGATCTCCGTGGAGTAGGTCTCATCTGTGTAGTGTCTGTAAATGGCCTTTAGGTAAGTACTGCCTATCCTGTTGGGCCCTCTTTCGAGAAATAAAGTTGCAAGTCTGAAATTAAGAAAGAAAATATTTTATAATTGAAATGGAAGAGAAACCCTAAGGGCTTACCTTGAGGAGTCCATAAAACATTGGTACATGTGATTTCTCATTTGGTGTTCACCACACCTGTCACCTCTGTGGGGCTGGTACAATCATCCTCAATTTATCGGTGTGGACAGCAGGCTCATTGGGGTAAGTGATGAGTCAAATGCACAAACACTATTCACAACCAAATGAAAACAAAACCAGAGATCTCTAAAGTCATGTGACCCATTCACTTTTTCTTTTTTTAATAATCTTTTATTTTATTTAAAGAATTATTTTATTTATTATTATTTTCTAAATTTGATGAGAGAGAGAGAGAAAGTGAGAAAGCAAGCTACAAGGTCTGGGACTTGAACTGCAGTCAACTATGTGGGAGTCCAGCACCCCAACCACTTTACCACCTGCCTGTCCCCATATACCCCCTTTTCATTCAACAAGCTCCCCTTCACTTTTTCACTGAACAAACCCTTCAGGTGCACTTCCTGTGTTCCCAGCACTCCGCTAAGTGCTGTGTGGGTTCCACGTGGGTTTGCAGTCTGATCACGGGAAAGTGCGTGTCTGAACAGAGCAGGGCATGGCTGTGTCAGCTGAGCGGTGGATACAGATATGTGCTGTTCGGAACTCGAAGACCAGTTCACAGAAGGAAAACAGAGCTATGAGGAGGTCAGAAAACACCTCGTGACAAACACAGGAATAAGTGAGACTGGATAACAGGAATGAAGGGAGGACACCGGGCAGGGACACGGCAGGGGCCACGAGGAGGAGGACGTGCACGTGCTGTTGGAGAGCGGGGTAGAGGCCGAGGGCCGGTGTGAGAAGGTGAAGAGTGAGAAATACGGACACATGTGCATTCCGGGGGTCAATTGATAATGAACTTTAACTCTGGGTTGAAGAATTGAGGCTGTATCTTAGAAGCACTGAGGCCTCACTGAGAGATTTTTATGAGGAGGGTAACTGGACTCGTGTCTCGGCCTCGGCAGCTTGAAAGACACAGCAGGCAGGCTTAGGTGCCACTCTGAATGGGAACCACAGGCACAGCCTCCCTGCCCTTGTCACGCAGCACGTGAGCACTCTCCCAGTGGCTCCCACGCATCTCCTCTGTCTCAGTCCCGGCATGAGCTTGGGCAACCAGTTTGCTGACTTCCAACAGTACAGATGGAAGACCTGCTGCATGCAAAGTGCTGGGCTAGATGTTTTTTGGATGCAGAAATAAACAAAATACAGTCCCTGAGTGAGTATCTTTATGATCAAGAGGAACAGACAAAGACATTGGTATCTGCATGGAAGAGATGGCCAGGAACTCTGAGAACAAAGTGCTCTGAGAATTTAGAAGAGGGAGGGGCGATGGGCAAAGTGGAAGGAACAGCTTGATCAAGGCGTCAGTGTGAACGAATTAGAAGTCATTTCAGGAAATCACGAGCAGCTTTATATGGCCAGAAAAGTTGATGGGGGTGAAAACGTGGGGAAGTTTGAGTGCTGAAGTAAAGCAATAGATGTGTCTGCAATTAAGCCACTGAAGACTCTGGAGCAGGGAAATTTCCTCTCTCTGATGTCTCTTCATTGTACCTGCCACATGGTTTCTCCCATCTGCACCTGCTCACTGGATTAAGCCCCTTCCTGACCTTTAAATATTAAACCCATACATCAGTATAGCTGACCAAAGCTCTGTTTAGTTCCATGCCTTATTAGAGGATTTATTCCTTAGTATCCAATTTAGCTGAGCCTCCCACTCCCAGTGGTCCAGATGTGGCATCTGCTTGTGTGGTCTGGTCTGGGACTTGCTTTGGCCAACTTAGGAAGTCTCCCTATCTATCTCTCCTTAGTTTATCATCTTCTCCCAACTCCTCTCCCTTCTTGGTCCTATCCAAGCTCCTCTGGGTACAATTGGCAAAAACCCTTTTTGCCCTTTGCTCTTCTCTATATTAATGCCTAAAATGAAGATATGATGACTGGCGCTCCGGCAGCCATCCCGAGATAATGAGGAAGAGGGTCACATCCCCACAGATGGCCCACCCTAGCAGAAAGCCAAAAGCAACCGTGATCCTGATGATTGCCAACTTCTAAATATCCTTTAAGAAAAAATAAGATAAACTAAACCTCCACTATATTTGTCAACTAGCAACTGAACACAATTCCTGATTGAACATGCTGTTCAGGAGGAGGAGGAGGAGGTGTGGAAGAAGAACTGAGTCATCCCCAAGCTGGCTAATTAGCCCAGGAGCAGGCAGAGGTGCCAGAGTTGCTTTGTAACTGTCACTGAGTCACCCAGTAAGGCAATGGCACAGCAAGGATTAGACTCAGAATCCCTGGTGTCCTCTCTGGGCTCAGCCTGATGGCTCAAAGCTACAAGCAGTAATTCATAAGGCCCCAGCATTCCAATGGGCTCTGCAGAGAAGGTGAGCATTGACTCCTCCACTCCTCTACCACAGTCTCCCGTCAGACACACACAAGCATACACACATGCAAACACATGCTGAACACACATGCTCACACAATCACGTATACCCCGCTGCTTTTAGGTCCTGACCTCACCTCTTCCCAAAACCTTTCTCCAACCATACCTCAATCTCATGCCCTCCATTTCTCTTTCCTTTCAGGATTCTGGGCACACATGCACACACACATCCACTGTAACTCTTTAGCCACTAGATCTGAAGCTCAAACCCACACAGTTGGTCATGGGGGATCCAGCTGCCTTAACCACCATGCCATGGGCTGGCCTTCATATGATGCCTTTGTAATATTACAGAAACTCCTGCTCCTATGAGTCCTAAAAGATGTAAATCAGGCCTGAGAAATAAGCAACAGAACCATCCACAGGAATCTGCCTCAGTGTAGACAGAGTGTAGGCATTGGTGAGCTGCCTCTTATTGATGGTGTAGCCACAGGATGGCCCATTTGGGAGAAATTGAGCAAGCACCAGTCCTGGAACCTCTCCAACTGAGAGTCTAACACTGACTCAAGCTGGGGAGGTGTCATTTCCTGCTGTGAAGGAATCCAGTGGGGCTGAGGAGTTTCACGTTGGCAACTGGCACAAGAGGAGGGTTTAGAATATCACATTACCTGGGGCAACACCGTGCAGGGGGCTGCCATCCAAAGGCACGGGAGACTGACCACTGTCAGAACAAGCTCAACCTGGGAGAGCCCTGGAGCAGTGCAAAGGTGGGCTTCTAGCTCAGTCTATGGACTTTGTAGCTCACAAAGGGTGCACACGTCCCACATCACTGGTGTTTTTAGTGGGATCCCTCTCCCCTCACTTTGCCATGGAGCAATTGTTTGAGCATTTACTACGTATAGAGTATTAAACTAACAGCTGAGGCCAAGATGTACTTAGCTCAGTCCATGCACTCAAGAGATTTATCATTCAACTGGGAAAGTGCAATGCATTGGAGGACAAATAGCAACACGTCATTTTATATTAGGTCCATCAGAAAAGTCATGATGCATTTTTGCATAGAAAACTGAAAAAATACATGACAACTTTTCCAACAACCCAATATATGACATGCCCAGTGCACTACATAGAGCCTGAATGTCGGGAAAGACAAGGTAATCCAAGATGAAGATAATATGCAGAGAATCGCCCTCAAAGGGTGTGGCCAGAGCAAACGTGTGAGATCATTCTAGTCGCATTAAGGACAAGCAACGTTGTCTGAGCTTGAGAAGGAACGTGTTCACTGAGGAGAAAACGGGACATATCCAGGGTGAGCAAAAAGAAGGACTGAGAAGATCACACAAGATAACCGGGCGCAGCCATGCCCTCCCTCATTAGAGTAATGGTTTTCAGAGCCATCCCAGTATGCACGCCAAGGCACGTTCTTTTGTCCTGGTTCCCTGGCACCACCTAAGTCTTCCTTCCCTTTCCACTTCATTTCCACAGTCTTCTGGCTTCCCAAACCAGGGGAGATTGCTGCTGTTTTATTTTTCTTTAAGAATTATTTAATTTGGGACCAGCAGTTGGCGTAATGGCTATGTCACTGGACTCCCATGTAGTTGACCGTGGTTCGAGTCCTGGACCTGGTGGCTTAAACTCACACCAGGTGCATGTGCATGCATGCCCAAGATCCAGAGAGGAGAATGTAGGAGAAGGGATTGCAGTGTGGCCATCCCTCTTTGGGGGTGATTTCTAGTTTTCTGTCTTTCTGGCGAGCACACATGCCCTATAGCAAAAACTTCTAAAAACAAAAAAGAAAAGAAAAGAAAAAAGTACTATTTAATTTGATTTGTTATGATTAATTTTTAAATTTGACCAGTGAGAAAAAAGGAAAGAAAGCAAGCTGCCAGGTTCAGGACTTGAATCTCTGTTGGCCATGTAGGAATCCAGTGCCTTAATCACCATGCCACCTGCTGGCCCCGATTGCTGTTGTTTTAAACCACCTAGTTTGGGGTGGTTTATTATAGCAGCTATACGAAACTAATATACTCCCAAAGCAAATGCTTTTATAATCCCCATTTTACTGATAAGAAAACTGAGGCAAAGAGTAATTCAATTACTTACCAAGTGGGTGGAGCAGGAATTCTAAATCTTTCAGTTGATGCCAGAGTCCAACACTTCACCAGCAGAGTGGGCTGCCTGGGCATCTCTGTTACACCACTGCTGGGCTACCTTCCCTGTGCCTCCTGGGCCCCCTGACCACGGACAGAAGATTGCCTCCCATCACCCGCCCCCACACATGGCATATAAGGCTTGTAGAACAATGTCTGGAGCATAGTAGGAACTATATGACACTTAGCAATTACAATACCTGTGAGTTCTCTCCAATCCCACTAATGAGGCCTTGGGGCCTTACTATACGGAGGTGAGAAAAGAAAGGAGGGACCCAGAGGACACTCATCAGTGAAGGGAAATGGGAGAATGGAGGGAGGGAGCATGGCAGGGACTTCAGATGTCTTGTGATGTTCTGCCCTCCTTCTTTCTCAGTTACAGCATTGAATCCCTGCCACAGAGCCTTCCAGGGCTGGCC